GCAATAGCCTAGCTTCAAAATTATTTATAAAGTATAGAGTACATTAGTTTCGTTTCGTACTTGCCAGAGAGAATTTCTGCTAGGCACAACTTCATTTTAAAATATTTTCAGGTGTAATTATATCTTATGCATTGGTTCTCAAGGTTTCCGGTAGGATAACTTTTAACTGAATAGGTCTCACTAGTAGGGCTTAGAGATCATCAAATCTTTTTTATCTTCATTGAGACTCACAATTAAAAACATTAATAAAATTGGCAGGTGAACGCTTGAACAGTGGCTATAATTACTAAAATTAATTATTAATTTTAATGTAAAGCCTATCCTTCAGAATATAAAAACATTAAAGATTGAAAAACTCAGCGACTTACTGCATTTTCCATTCATTATTTCTTTCATGCCCATCACGCATTGGCAGTCTTTTGACTTCCATACAACCTTTAAAATTCGTCCCTTGCCTGTTTTTTCATCACAATGCGAGAATATTCCATCACCAATCTTGATCATTTTGGCATCGACGTTGTCATTCAATTCGATACCCTTCTTGTTCTCGCCCACTTGTGCACATTCTACAGGCTGACTGAGCACTCGAGTCTGCCGAAGGCATCGGCCGTCGACAAGACTATACGTAGTCTCCAGTCGCGTCAGTCTATTGGAAATCGGGTCACAACGGGGCCCACTTAAGTGTGGCTTGGGACAAGCTTGAGGGTAACATGGACAAAATGGAAACCAGTTATAATAGTTACAAATTATGGTAAATAAATAAGTATAAAATGTTGCGAATTACTACAGAGCTGAGGAAGCCTGAGACCTTTCGTGTGGGCACCAAGACTATATTTTTCAAATAGGAAACTTATTTGAGACGAATTTTATGTTAACCACTTAATGCATGTGCGCCCGTTCGATGTAAATAGCTAAAACCACCACTTAACGAGCCCCCACTTAGTCTAGTCCTCATTACCAACACTCATTTTCTTGCCTATAAACATCCTTATGATAGGCGTCTTTGTGATTGTGTTTATAGCTGAAATAAGCAAATTATTTTTAATTGCTTAAACATCTCGCGGCTGATTCACATGAGCGCACAAATATAAACCCAAGCCTGCTTAACGTGGGATTT